CGGCCCGGCGACGGGGGCGGGGGCCGACGCGCCCGCAGCGCCCGCCGAGCCCCGGAAGCCGCAGGGCGTGAAGCGGCACCACCACAAGCACAACCTGAAGCACCGCTACGAGCTGCAGGAGACTCTGGGCAAGGGCACGTACGGCAAAGTCAAGCGGGCCACAGAGCGCTTTTCGGGCCGAGTGGTGAGTGTGCCCCGCGCCCCCCGGCCCCGCGCGACACTTGTTACAGCGCCCGCCGCGCGTGGGCCCACTTCCTGGCGGGGAGCAGGGTCGGGGTCTGCAGAGCCCGCGCGCCTCGGGATCGGGACTGGCCCGCGGCCGCGGTTGCGAGCTCGCTTTGTGCATGACCCTGGTCGCCTGTGTCCTGTTCTCCTGTCTCGCCTCCCCACGCAGACCCGGCTCTGCGTCCTCCTCCACCGATCCCCACCCCCGGCTCGGCAAGAGGACTCCTGTGCTTCAGAAAGGAACCCAAGGGGCAAAGCAGGAGAGCCGCGGCGGCGCTCCCGGGGGTGACAGTGCGGGGTGGCTTTTCGTGGGGTGCAGACCCCGGCCCAGGACTCCCGAGGGGCTGCAGGGTCTGGCGACTGCCGGGTGACAGCGAGCCCTGCTGGGATGCCTGGCGGCCTGCACAGCTTAGGGAGGGGAGCTCCGTGCCCCGGTCGCCTGTCTGGTCCCAGCCTGATGTGTTGTTATTTTCCTTTCTGCAGAACAGGCCCTTGAAATCCACACTGCCTGTGGCTGGAGAGTTGGGTTCAAAGTGCCTGACTGCTGCAGAAAGATTTTGTGTGGTGTGCGGTGGAGAACTGGCGTGTTGTTGTTTTTATTTAAAGCACATCAGATGTATTGGAATCGATTTAGGGCCAAAGTCAGAAAGTAATTATGAGACTCCATAAGTGCATTTTTTGGGGGGTAGTTGTTTTGGAGCCCAGAGCTGCCTATAAACCTAACAGCTGGCCACAGGGAAAAGCTAATGAACTGTCAGAGGAAGTGCTGGTGTTGACGTTTTTCTTTTGCATTTGTTCAGGGATAGTTCTGTGGAAAAATTGGGTACTGACTGCCAGCAAAGTTCAGTCCCCAAATTCTTAGTAGCTGCAAAACTGGACCCTCCCTGCATTTCTTAGATGCCTGGTTTGGATTGATATGACTTCATCCTAGGACTTGAAAAGACTGTTATTGTTTAATTAGAAATGTGGGACGTTGCACCTTTAAAAAAATTTTTTTTAAAGCTGCCTCATTAGGGCAAGCAAGTCCCAAATGTGCTGTACACAGGTGCCGTGGGGTAATGTGGACAATCTGAAGGGATGGTTGCAGTGACGTCTGGCCATACTGCCCGCTGCTCTGCAGAAGAAGTGGAGGAGCATGCGTCTCATTCATACTTTTCTTCTGCAGCCAGATTGCCCAGGCGGAATGTTGAATAAGAAAAGCCAAGCGTAGCTCCCCACCCGCCTGCCCGCTCCTGTTGTCTTAATAGCTGTTGAAGAACCGCGCTGGGAAGTTGGAAAGCAGAATAATGAGAACCAGACGCGGCTGGAGGGGCAGGTTGAAGCCTAATGCTTGCAGGGATTGAGTGGGAACAGGGCGTGTCTGGGATCTGTCTGCAAAGGGACCCCAACACCTCGGTGCTGGGGAGCTCCCAGGAGCTGTTTAGAAGTATCTCATGGCAGATGCCTTCTGGAGCGTCTTCGGACCCCAGTCCGGTGCTTTCCTCGCTCTGATCACAGCCGGGATAGAGGATTGGCAGCGAGGCAGGAGCCTGCCTGTGGCTTTGGGTGGGTCAAGCCTAGCTCTTTGCGGAAAGCGCGAACATTCCGCCGGGATTTCGTGGCACGGCCACGAGAGGGCGCTCTGAGAATGAGAGAGGCGCATTTCTTGGCAGAAGGAAAAACCGGCTATTATTGCCCAGTCCTTAGCTCGCTTTCCCATTGTGCTTGTAATTTCAGCAAAATCTCTTGTTTTACTCAAAAATTATGTAAAGATTTTGAGGCTGGCAGCAGGTCCAGGCCCCGAATTGGCAATTCGCAGACTGCTTCGTGTGTTCCCTCTGCCTGCACAGATGGGGAGGCAGATGGTACCAGAGCTCCAGGAGCAGACAGTCAGGTGGAAATTTCCTGCGCCTGGTCGAACAGAAAACAAAACAAAACAAAAATTAATCAGCGAGTTGATCTTGCCCAGTGCCCGGTGACTCAGGATATGTCAAGGGCAGCACAGATTTTTCATGCAAAGTATGAGTGTGGAATTTTCTTCTGGCTGCCGAGATGCAGGAAGCATTCGCAACTTGCCTTTCAGGCTCCGTTGGGCAGACTCAGAGAGAGCCGCGGCCGTCGGGGTGGATTTCCGGTCTGATGTTTTAGTGTCCTCTGCGCGGCTCATTTCATAGCACCTCTCAGCAAGAGCGTGGGGCTGGTGTCAGGCTCGGAAGGTGCTGTGATGCTGGGACGTCAGCTTCCCACAGAAACAGAGGCCCTGCCCAGAGGAGAGACCCCAGAAGAGTGGGGATGGTGGGCTTAGGGTTACACACGTGGGCAGGTCTGGTGACTAAACACTGGCATAGAGCATCGCCTTGGTGTTTGGTGAAACACAGTGCCGAAGAGTGTGGGGGTCCAAGGTTACTGCATAGCCACTTGGCTGAGACACAGACTCGGGCTCGCTGGGGGGGGGGGAGCCCGGCAGAGCCTCTAGCAGAAAGGCCAGGAGCCCTGGCTTGCGTTCAGGGCTTGGCTGGCCCTTTACTGGCTTTGCAACGTAGGCCAGCTTTGAGCTTTGGAGTCCCTGCTGTACTAGTACTACCAACTTCTTGGAAGGAAACAGTCTATAAGAAGCCTTGAAAGGGGGCACGAACCACTGAGGTTTCCCTCTCTAGTAAGCCTCTGTCCCTGTCTCACTAAGGATTTGGTTTTGGTCACTCTAAGGCCACAAGAGAAGCAGGATGGAGTGCATAGTTAGTCTTACATTGTGCAGAGAAAGGTAGGGGCGAGCATCAGCTTCTTAGGGCAGTTAAACTGTGATGCTAGGGCGATTGGGGCCGAGGCGAGGCCCCAGGCTGACGCAGACAGGAGGACCTCAGCGAAGTCCTGCACACGGGGCCCGTCTATTGCACGCCCTTCGTTTCAGTGTAGCTTGGTGGGGTCAACCCTCTGGGTCACTCTAGGCCTGCGTGTTCCTTGAGCTGAGGTCCCTGTGTCTTTAGGCCACACGAAGCATTGGCGAGTATTTTGGACTCTCGGGGGGGGGGGCCTGGCCTGGCATTGGCAGGCCCTGTGGGTAGCGTGTCCCTCTGTCCCCACCACAGCACTAGCTGGAGTGTAGTGAGGCATCTTTACTTACCGAGCCACAAGATGTGCCCGGAGGTGGGCGTCGCACGCTGCTCACACTGCTCGTTCTCATGCTGGACAGCTGCCCGTGGTGTGTGTTGGGGTGACCAGCCAGGGGCCTGCTATCCCAGAGGCCCTGTGGCCGTCGCGGCGTGTGGCAGGGCAGGTGCGCCGTGGCAGCAGCCAGGGTTCAGAGTGGAAGGGGCCTCGGGGCCCGCGTCCTCCCGACTCCTCCTCCCCAGGTGGGAAAAGGAGAAACTGGAGTGATCAGTGACTTCTCTAAGGTCGCACAGCTGGTGGCTGAGCCGTGCTGAAGCAACCCGATCCTTGGTTTGGAATTTTTGTAGCTTGCGTGTAGGAGGGCTGTGCTGGACCGAGACGTGGTCCTCACTGCCGGAGCACTCCTCTGTGGCAGCAGGCGGATGATGTGTGCCTTCAGATGCTGAGCTCACTCTGTTCAGCCTGGCACTGACGTATTCCTCTCTGCCACTCTCCTTGTGACAGGTGGAGTAGGACCTGGGGCTTCTGGTCAGTAGTTGAGAGGTCTGAGCACTCTGCCATCCCGGATGTAACTGGACTGGTGGCCGCCAAGTGGCCCAGTCCTCAGATGGAGTCTGTGTTGGGGAGGAGCGCTTCCGTCCCGCAGCGCCGCTGCTCCTGCTGCCACTGCCAGCCGAGGCAGGCGTCGCTCTGTGCCAAGCGCGCCACAGACCTCTCCTCTTGCCGAACCACGGTCACGTTGGGGGTGCGTGCTGGCTACAGCAATTTTGCAGGTGGGGAAGCGGCACCTGTGGAGGTGAGAGGACTTGCGGAGGGTCACACGGCTGGATGGCATCCAGCTATTCTGTTTGGAAGTTCACTGCTGCACAGACCAGAGCCTTTCCTGATGTCGTGCAGCTGGATCCTCCAGATGTGTCCACAGTCACTCACCACCAGTACTGGCTTACTTTTGTGTTGCTAGGACAAAATTTTTGACACCCACATGTTGAAGGAGGAAAGGTTTTTCCTGGCTCACAGTTTGTAGAGGTTTCAGGCCTTCGTTGGCTGGCTCCAGGGCAGCGTGGTGTGGCAGTGGGGTCTGACGCAGGAGAGACAGTCCGGCGGGGGGGTGGGCGTGAAGCAGTGTGACTTCCTTCGTTCCTTTTCCATTTCGTCCAGGTTGCAGGCCTGTTGGTTGGTGCCACCTGCACCCAGGGCGGGTCTTCCCCTTTAGCAAACCCATCACTGACGCCTAGCACTATGATGAAGCACCCACAAGACTAATCTCCTAGTGGAACAACTGTGGTCCACTCATTCCCAAAGCCCCACCTAGCAGTGTGGGAGACTTCAAGGGCGAGAAACGCAGATGCAAACCACAGCCAGCACCGGAGAGCAGCCCTGAGGGGATTCTTCTTCAGGTGGGTTTTGGTTGCCATCGGGAAGGGGTCACAGAAAACGGGCTGCGGCCAACTGTGTCAGTCTCCACCAGCTAAGAGGAGGCCAAGAGGATGGCCTGGCTTTGGGCTTCCGGAGACTGAAATGTGCAGCAGTGTAGGCTGAGGGCAGGGCCACTGTGTGTGGGGGGCTGGGCAGAGTAGAAGGCAGGGACTGCGCTGGGGGGCAGCCAAGGCAGTGTGGGGCAGTGATGGCGGCCATGCTGGGCACGAATTTGCTGACTGCAGCCTGCTAACTAGCCTGCCACTGAGCCACTTTCCAGATGAAGAAACTGAATCACGAGGGGTTAACCAGCTCGCCCAAGGTCACGTGCAGCCAGGGTTATCACTGGGTGTAACCACGGAGGCCTTCAGCTTGATCCCCCTGCAGGGGCTGTCCGGGTTCTGATCACACTGGCGCTCACCCTGTGGGTTTAGGTTGCTGGCCAGGAGCAGGGAG